AAGTTGTCATGAATCAGTCGCTGTTTGTTCTGTATGTAGACTGTATGATTTTTATGACACTAACCTGGTGTTCATTTTCCAGCATACATTGAAAGTGACTATATATGTATGTATGTATGTATATATATAACTATACTTATATATGTATATATATATATACATATATGTACTGTATATATACATATATGTATCTATGTATGTATACATATATGTATGTATATATATGTAAAGAAAGAGAGAAAGAATGTCGTTTTGCATACTTGGAAATACGGAATGTGGAAATACAACTGCATGGTTGATCGTAATACTTAAAAGTGCTACAGAAAAGAGGTTTAAAAAATCGAGAACAACTGAATTTATGAGAGTGTGGTTTGCTTGTTTAATCGCAGCGTTAACTTCCTGTTATTGTGCAATGAAGTGGATTTCAGTCTCAGACGTTAAATGTTGAAAGCACACGAAATGAGGAATTCTTCTGTTCATAATAGGGAGGAAAATCTTTTAACAAAATGAGTTGTTAATAATTTAACAAAAATAAGGCAGTTTGGAGTGACATCAGAGTTGACATTGGTTTTAGTTGGGTTTTTTTTTTTTTTTACTTTTTTTTCTCCTTCGTCTACGCTGATGTTGTAAATCTGACACTGACTGCCATCTGGCACCTTATGGTGTGTTGGAGGGAAAGTCCTGACGAAAGCAAAACCTGTCGTCATGTCGACACTAACAGAGCCGTCCAAATGTAGACGACTCTTTTCCATCTGCACATATTTCTACCTGATGTTTCAGTTTTCTTCTCAGTTTTTCTTCTCAAGTCTGTCACTTGGGTATTTATTATGTTAGACATAGTTCAATAATTTCTCCGAGTAAATGTCTTTGTCGATTCCATGATGGGCAGAGGTAACAGAGGAGAACGAGATCTTCTCTTCTTTTTTCCCGCTTTGCTGATTTTCTCCTATTTCAATTAAGAGTGAGGATCACATTAGCCATTTGTTTTGTAGTCAAGACTGAACACATGCTGTTAATTAGTTACAACAGTTTGGCTTTTTAGTGGGGAAGAGTGTTTTTTTACTTTATTAATTTTTGAAAGAGCCAGCATTTGTCAGCTGATCTGGTTCAGCCGTGGACGAGCTCAGCAGACGGCGGTCCGACTTAGAAGGACTCATTACTGAAGGCCATGAGACCTGTGTGTCCAGCAGAAACACGGTCTGAAGGCAGGGTTGCATCAAGTGGTCGGTCACAGTGTTATGGCCGAGTCACATTGGTGTGAAGTATAAGGAGCGCTGAGCTCCCGTTAATGATGGAGCAGAGCGGCTGAAGGCAGCGTCTGTGAAGCTGCAGACTGGCGACGCACGACTGAGGAATGATGGGTTGAAGACCGAGGCAAACGCAGACTTGAACCATGGACAAATATACGGTGGTGATTAAAATTTAAAGGAGACGTCATCTCCACAAACAGCATTGATCCGAAGAGGTTCCAGAAGAGTGAGGATTGATTGACAGCTGGATATCACTATGACAAAACCTCAAATATATATTTTATTATTTGACCTCTGACCTTTCTCCTTTCTGTCTCTTTTCATGTAGGTGATCCAACGCAGGGAGGACGGCTCTGTCAACTTCTTCAGGGGCTGGGAATCTTACCGCGAAGGATTTGGGAAGGTCACTGGTGAACACTGGCTCGGTAAGTTACCCAGAAGTCAGTGTGTTATCTGGTGACTTGGTCATGATCTATAATGTTAGCCTCTACATATGCAACAGTTGACAGAGCTACAACCATCACAAACCACCGGGACACCAACAGGATCAAACGGAAAAAAGAAAAACTACTAGTACTTCATTAAATCAGAAAAAGCCACAGTTTAAATTCTGTGAAATGCAGCTCTGTTGAAGCCGTACCGACGTTCATGATCTATAATGTTAGCATCTACATATGCAACAGTTGACAGAGCTACAACCATCACAAACCACCGGGACACCAACAGGATCAAACGGAAAAAAGAAAAAAAAAAAGAACCAGGGCTCAATAATAAAGTCTTAAATAGTTACAAACACAAAACAAGTCTGAATTTCCTAAAATACCACTGCACTCTTCATTAAGTTGATCCACTTTTCTAAATCCTCCACACCCTCCTGGAAACTGCTGTGGCCTTTAGCTATGGTTAACTACTTGCTAATAGTACACTCCCATGAACAGAGTAGTATTAATGACAGTCACGACTGACGAGGCATTTTAATTGAATTCGACTTTAACATGACATGAAAAACAAAAGGCCCTGAGAGAAGGTTTTTTTTTTTTTCTTTGTCGCTAACGACGTCGTACCAACTGTGGCTGCTCTGCCATCCGTGGTCGTCATGTCGTGAATGCGTCAACAACTCATTGCATCAAACAAAAGTGCTATAAAAAGGACATTAATAGAACCTAATACGACCTATCATGTAATAAAAACTCAACATTGTGAAAAAAACTAAATTAAACTGTTTACTAATTGATCATTAATTCAGGTCTTTGAAAAGATTTCCTTGTATAAATTTCAAACAATAACAAGAAATAATTGACGTTTTTTCTTCTTGTATGAGCCACACCTTATACTGGATTAAGAAATCTTCACACAAAAATACATCCTGAAAAATACTTGAACATAATCTGACACAATCCTCAAAGTCTTCTTGTTGTCTGGGCACAACATCCGGCTTTCCCGGGCAACTTTCCACAAGATCTGAGCCTGTGATATTAATAATTCACAGTATGCAAATAGGTTGGACCACAGGTACATAACAGCAGGTCCAAGGAAATGAAGACTGCTGCTCTGTAATTGTGTGTTATTAACTGGCCCGCATGGTTCTGCTTCGTTCCCTCCAACAGTCGGTTCTCCTGCAATGCAGAAAAATGACAAAGATCTGATACGAATAAAACGTGAACACGTGCTGCTACAAACTCTGTGTGCTAGTACAGTACTGCATGATAATCAGGGATGTCAAGCAATTCAGAATTGTAATCAGATTAATCATGATTAATTGACGGTTTTATGATCGATCACAATTGTAATTCACCAAGATGATAATAATCAGGGTGAATCATCATTTATAAATATGACAAAGTTCATCTGTATGTTTCTGGAACTGAAAGACAAAAAAAACAGAAGGTAGAAAATGGGTTTTAAACCTGTTCATTATTTGTCGCTAAAATTAATCTGAAAAATAATGGCAGGAAAATAATGCAACATTATGAATCAAAGCCTCCAGAGGTTCTGTGTGTTATAACTGTGTCGTTTCCTTCTGTTCAGCTGGTGGATTTTAGTCCTTACTGACATTTGAACGTTGGCCTGTGGAACAAACCTCAGTGTATTATTCCGTCTCGTCACCATCCATTTGACGGTCGTGTCAGTCAGCTCGTCAGTCTCAGACCTGCAGTAGTTCCTGCCCCAGGGCTCAGTGAAGCTGCTCTGAGCCACTGGACCAACAGTTGAAGCCTAGAACATTATGGAAAACTAATCCAGAAGCCACACATCCGTCGTTCACACTGTACCACTTCGTTCTTTAGGCTCAGAATCTCAGGTGGAACCACTGTTATTGATCAATTTTGAAGACATCAGATTCTTTTTTCTAAATAAAACAACTTTCCAGACTTTTCTAAAGAAAGAAAAGAAAGAGAGAAAAAAAACTTTCTGAAAACTTTAGTATAAGTTAGTTGTTTCTTGTTTATTTTTCTACGATTGAAATCAGGATCCTGCAAAACAGCCGGCAGTTTTTATCGACATTCAAATCTATTCATCCTTTAATGTGTCGATGCTCAACCTCACTGTGGAGTTTCTCAGTAACAGATGAATGAAGTTGATGTAGGCTGTGTCTCGGTTTTCTTCTGCTGACCTGAGGTCGTTACCTAGTGTGTGTCATCATCAAATATGTGGCTGGAGGCCCAGCTGGATCCCTGTGCTCTGCTGTAAGAATACAGAAAAGGCCTGGATTCAGCAGCGTGAATTTGAATGAAGCAGCAGGCGACTGTGTACAATACAGAGACGTGGTTCTCATTCAGGCCTGTGGTGTCATTACCCCCATCATTGATTACCCTCAGGGCAAAAAATGAAAAATGGATTTGTGCTGGCCTCAAGCTTGGAAAGAAAATTATTGCATTTACCTCCTCTGGACCAACTTTGGTGAATAATTTCATGAACGACCTCTGATGCATTATTCTTTGTCCCAAATAAATATGAAATTGTGTTTTGGATGTACACAGTTTATATGAAGGGAGCAGTTTGGAGATGAAGTTGGAGGTGAGGGTAGGATGGACATGAACTGAGGAGATGGTTGGTGTAGAATAAGAGGAGGGCGCTGGAGAAGGTGGGACATTGTGAAAATAATAAGGCTATTTTCACATATTGGTCTTAATACTTGTGCTAGTGTTTTTCATTTCCTTTTTTAGAATTCTGAGAGAATACTTTGGTAACTTGTTGAAGTGCAAATTCAATATCTTCTGAAATGTTTTTCAGTTTTCGAAAAAGACAAGAAAAAAATATTTTGCACATTTTCCACAATTTCCATTTAAGTTTGGTACAAATTTGATGTCTGCTGTGAATTGATTTGGTTTTTTGGTTTTTTTTTTAGGGCTGAATAATCTTTTTTTTTTTGTTTTTTTTTAGGGCTGAATAATCTTTTAAAGTAAGGGTCTCACAGCTCAAAGACTGACAAAGATATAATGATATAAACTATAACATAATATAATGTCATATATAATGATATCAGCTGTCAGAGCTGCTGGAGTGATGTCATATCAGGTTTCAGGTATTTAAGTCAGTTAATCCTAATGGATAAGAACCGAGTCAGAACATTTCGACTTCGACTTCTTGATGTTTGTGATCAATGATAAATATGAGAGAATATTTCTCACTCCACTGTTATAATGTGCTAATAGATGTTTATTAATGTGCCGTATGTTCTGATCAACAATATGACACGATATAAATGTTGTGTTACAGTAACCCAGAGGGACCCAGTCTGTGTCAGTTTGAGAACCTCGGTGAGAGAGGCACCCAAAAATTCTACAATAGGGTAGACCTTGAATGCAACACACACAGTCATCAGTTGTCTTGAAGCGTTAGCCGTTTAGCCCACAGCTGTATCACCCCCAAAGCAACGCACAATTATTTATAGCGATAGTCAGTTTTACCCTGCAGGTACTGATTACAGTAGTACTTGTTAATTATGACACAAACTCCAGACTCTGAGTCCATTATCTATGAGTCGTGGTACAGCAATGGTTTATTTCTTTTCAATAGATCCATATGTTTAGAACCAAAATTTAAATTTTCTTCCTGTTGATTAGCTACTGAAAATATATGATTTTTTTGGTTTGAAAATGTTGCCCAACTACAATGATTATTAAACAGCGCCGTTGAAGACATTAGCCAATGAGCTGCCTACGATTTAATTCCGTCCCAGTGAGACCAGCACAGGTTTCCAGCTGGCCTGTAACCATAACAGAGGTGGATCTGTGATGGTGCACTGGTGTACTGTCAAAACATGAGTGAGTATTTGTCAAGTTGAGGAGTTCCTGTTCATACTCCAACATTCACTCCTGACTCACGTCTACAAACACATTTTAAGTAAAACCTAAAAGTGTAACCTGAGCTGCCGTGTTGTGTAAATGATGAAATCTCACACTCACTCTGACACAACCGGCACATCCTGACATTTAGAGCGTTATTTTTGTCAAACCTTTTGCGGTGGAGTGACATTTAGGAATGTTTTTTTTTTTTTCTGTTTGTTGTCGTCTGCATTTGTGAGTGTAGAAGGTCATTTCAGCTCATATTAGAGAAATTTAAAGGATTTTCTTTTTCCATTAGGACTTGCTGATATTATTCATAAGATCAAATTTGTATATCAAACTAATTTCATAAAAAAAAAAAAAAAAAAAAATCACTCAGTTTGGAGAGAATAAAAGAGGAGACTTACCTGTTTGGTGTTCATTTTCTCCCAGCAGAAGTGAAGAATAAAAAACATTCCTGAGCAGCTCTCAATTACATTAATCAACGGAGCTGTTAAAGCTTTAATAAATATCAGCTAATTTGAAATAGAAGTTATTATTGAATTTTCTGTCATAATAAAAGCTGCTGCTGCTTATCTGTTATGAACCTTTTATCTGCCAAAAATGTTCTCTCTCCTGGTGAGGCTGTTTGTTCTGTTGAACAATATTACACATATATATGTATATATATATAAATATATATATACATAACTTACATAAACTTAGCTTTTTTTTGTTGCCTTTTTCGATTTGTATTCTTAACTTTTCCTCACTTTATTCTCTGTTTCACTCTTGCGTTTCTTCTTCTCACCACCATCCTTACCGCTCACTCTCTTAGGACTCATCACTATTATGAAGAATAATGCAGAAAATACAGAGAAAATCACGTAGATAACGCAAACACTATACGGAAGACAGAAGTCGACACAGACGAACACGTGAAGTGGTGAGCGAGGCGGCGTGGGCTGCTCCGAGTGAGTGGTGAGTGAGGCGGCGTGGGCTGCTCCGAGTGCTCGGCCACCTAGCGTCGGCGTCTGTAGACGTGATTGTATTTCAAATCTTTACTCGTATCTCGGAATACTCATATGTTGGGACGCTCGTATCTCAAGGTATTACTGTATATATACATGGAGATGTGAGTAGTGCTTGGTCAGCTAACC